GAAAAAAAAGGATGGACTTTGGATGTTAATCTAATTGCATATATAGAGGTACCAGATATGTTTACAGTCAGTTGTTGCTAATTTACCAACATAATATCATCGGATGTATGGCACCTCTTAAGCAATTGTTTTGAAAATTTTAGCTTTTGTTTTTACTTATAATTGTATTTAGTTTGCTTAAAATTTATTTCCCGGAAAAAAGTGATCATGTCTTTTTCGGGTTGTTGTTTAGGGAGGGGAGGGGGGGGAGAGGAAGTTTAATATGCATAATTTTCCAAGTCTCATTCCTCATTGTGGTGGACACGCCGTGATCCACCTTTAGCCGCTGACTTGGTCCTACTTGCAAAGCCAAGTGCCACGCCGTCCAAAGAGGCAATGAGCAGAGGCAGAGGCTTTTCAGGTTCAAGCCGAAAGATGTGCAACCAGTGATGCAAAATATCATGACACTCACGCGACACTCGTCTTCGCATCAACCGACTATCGCTGACAGATCGTTTTGTCACGCAGTGAGAGTTAGAGCCATGGCAAACAACTATCACCAGTAATGGTCGCTGCTCACAAGCAAAACGTTACACTCGCTGCTGATGATGAAAAGCACAACGAAAACAGTGAAGACTTCTGCAGTACAATCATGAGAAAAAGCGAAACGACAGAAGAAAATGAAAACAATGCTTACGCATTCCAAGTTCGTCTCGGCAGGCGCGACTGTGTGAGTTACAAACAAAGCAGGCAACATGTAACGGAAGCTGTTGGGCTCACTCGCCAACACACTCGCATACGCAATCAAAGCAGCAACTGCTTCAAAACGAGCACAGATGAGTGTCGTGATTGTCAGGAATGACCAGATCGGTGATGGATCACAACAGAAGACGACATTCACCAGTTGCTTTTTACTTCTTTTGTCAACTTGATGGATGGTCATGGAGAGAGCTTCGATAAGCACATTGATAGGAATGTACAAAGCGTTACTACCACCAGCTGTTTGACGATCGTGATTGTGATGGGTCGCAACTCTGTGTGCAACCACACCTGACAGGATTTCCCGCCGTTTTTTATGAATTGGGTGGGGCAGAAAATTTCTTTTGTGCATATTCTGCACTGTTAAAAAGGATGGACTTTGGATCTTATTGCATATATAGAGGTACTAGATATGTTTTACAGTCAGTTGTTGGTAATTCATTGAATGTATGTCTCCTCTTAAGCATTTTCTTTTGAAAATTTTGGCTCTGCGTGTAAAAAATTGTTTTTACTAATAAATTGTGATTTGCTTAAAATTTATGTCCCGGAAAAAAAGTGATCGTCGAAGTCCATGTCTTTTTCGGGTTGTTGTTAAGGGGAGTGGAAAGGTTGTTGTTAAGGAGGGGGAGGTTGTTGTGATTGGGGGGAGGGGGTTTTACATACATAATTTTCCAAGTCCTCATTGTGGTGGTCATGGTCTGCCGTGATCCACCTTTAGCCACTGACTTGGTCCTGCTTGCTGCAGGACCTTGTGCCACGCCGTCCGAAGCGGTAATGAGCAGCGTCAAGTAAGCAGTGCTGTTTTATATCTTTTCAGGTTCAAGCAGAATGATGTGCAACCAAGTGGTATTCGTTTATGATGACTGGTTTTGGGGAAAACGTTTAGTTCATGAAAACAGTGATAAAATTATCATTTGCGCATTTTTCAAGTTACAAGCGTTACACCACACATATTTTTTGATTTGCGCCCCAGTATAGTCGACAAAGACGTAGTTCTACGTGAAAATGTAGTCTACAAAGGTTTGAGCTTCGCGCGCCTATTACGGATATAGAGGACCGGTTTTAATATTTCAGTGCCAACATTTCAAAGGGGCGTAATTGCTTTTGAAACAATGGCTTTAGCCATCGATTTCTCGTAAATAAAAGCTCACACCTCCAAATTAACAATGCTAGCTGGTAGAGGAAACATTATTCTACCTGTTGGTGCAATTAATTTTCATGAGTGAGCTTTTATTCGCGAGAAATTGACGGCTAAAGCCATTTTTTACAAATGCAATAACGCCCCTTTGAAATGTTGGCACTGATTTGATAAAAAAATGCTACTTTGATGCTTATTTGGAAGAACCTTGAGTTAGTAATAAGTTTTCTTCATATGTCGGGGGTTCGTGAGCATTCCTGACATTGCTGAAAATTATGATAGCATCAGATTGCAGGGTTGCTAGTGTAATAGGATGCTTTGTTGATTGTTCATTAACTCTTGATTGCTTGTAATACTTATGAATATTTTAGGTTGACAAAAAGTTGAACTAAGAGGTGGACGCCTGAGCTTTTCCACATTTATATCGCTGTGAAGCAACTGTAAACTCTAGAGGGAATTTATATCTGTAACTGTAGCCAGTTCGATTTTTTTTAATATTTTACTGTAGAGATTTTTAGACGTAGACTAGTTCATCTCAAAAATTTGATTTTATTTGCAAACCAGATTAAAATTTCATATTTAATTATATTATAGATACATCGTCCAGCTCATACCTTTGTAGAGGTAAGAAGTGGGACCATCATCATCATCATATAAGTAAAAACCAAACATACTCAAACATACTTACAGGCAGGAAGTATATTGTATACCGTTTTTGGACGTACGAATGGATTTTTATATTTATTGAAATATTTCCGAGTAACTTCTGCATTGATAAAATCAAGCCAAGCTACACGTATTATTTTATATGCACAACCCTCTATTCCCCACTGCTTGATATGTATTGTCTGATTAATTGGAGGCAAATCGCAGAAGTCGTCGCTATAGAAATTCCTATTATCCCAAAAGCAGTGCAAAATTTGAACAAATTTCATTACGATCTGGATTTGCGTGACTGTGTACGGAAAAATGTATGGAGAATGGAACAAAACGATTCAGTTGCTTGACAAAAATTAAAAAAAGGGCTCACTTTATACCTGAGACTTAAATTGAAAAAGCTATGCAGAACAACTTTGTCCAAGATCGAAAATCGATTCGACTTCTGGGCAAAAAGTTACTAGCTTTTTACTTTGTGATTTGTGATCATCGACATAGTTGTTGTTCCGCATAGTGTTCCCTATCTAAGTCTCAGGTTTGTTCTAAATTGATTTTTTTTTTTAATTTTTCGACAAGTAAATGGATAGTTTCGTTCCGTTTCCCATAGAACTTCCCATACAAACTGTTCTCCCGCAAATCCAGATCGTAACCGATTCGTTCAAATTTGGCGAAATTGTTGGAAACCTCTACACATATTGAAAGAGCAGGAAGCTGTAAAGTTGTCTCACCCTAGCGTACACTGAAACACACTCCATTGACAAAAATACTATTGCTGGTTTAAATTAAATACACTCACCAATAGATTTTAGCAGAAAACAATTTCATTTCATTATACTATTATTTATATCAAAATTACTATGTATTTTTGAACAAGCATAGTAGTTTTTCCAGAATCATAGTAAATTTGTTAACACTCATAGTCAACTATTCTGAATTCATAGTAGATTTAACGGTAATAAGTGTGGTTATATTGAGAATAAGTGTTTTCTGCATTATAGTGCTCCTAACTATGGTCCTTGTTTCAGTGTACATACTTCAATGATGAAAGCTATCGGTAACTTTAGGTTTTTGCCCAGGTCAAGAATAAATCGATTTCTAGTTTTACTTGCTACAGTCTCATTCGTCTTTAGCGTTAAAGTGTTTATTATGGCGTCGAAGATTGCTCAAAGCGCTTTCATTTGCCGTAAGCGTAAAGGCATGCGCACAAAACATCCGTTAGTGATAAGTTGCGGCAAAATGACAACTAAATCTGTCTAACTGCAAGGTTTTCTGCAACGTATCTGTAACGGATGCAAAGTTCGTGTGCCTTCTCTCTCTAGGTCAGATAGCAAACCGATGGGTGGTTTAGATTTCCTCTACAATCGATTTTGAGCCACACAATTAAAAATAACTATTTTTACACGAGACGTTATCCATCTTTGATGTAACTTATGGCACGTAAACAAACATGTCATGTAAAATTAAGTGTTCCCAAACCGAAACATACACAACTCGACGAAAAGTACGATTGATTGAATTTATTTCTGGTTTCTTTCAACTGATTCTGATGTTATTTGGGCCGCTGCGCGTGTCGGTCTCAGGGCACCGAAATTTACATGACTTTTTTGTAGTGTGCATACAATATACAAACATGGTATGGTAAGCTTAGAAAGCTCGCAGTTAACAACTAAGAAAGTACTCAATGAACACTAAACTGATGGCAGGCATTAGTTCAAGAAGCTACATAATTAACCAGGGAAAAGTAGAAACATTTCAAATTAGACAACAAAGTCTGTGTATTTTCGGTGCACGTTTACCACATAGTTTGATATAATTAGGGGATACGATTACGAAGCAGAGAATGAAACAAGCACAGGTAGAACGTATGAAACATACGCACTCTGGGTAATCAACTAAAGGAGATGTACCTACAGTGGTACGTGTGGTGTAGCGTGTTCAAAAAATAAATAAATGGGGTTTACATTTCTGAACATCTATCAACGCGTAATTGTAAGAAATGTGATAAAAATATTTCATAGTTGATAACGTACATGGTACATTTTTAAACTGTGCACGGTATGGAATTTCTCTACGACCGGTCATTTCTATTAGTCTGTTTGTAAATTAGTTATTTTCACATACTCATAAATTGATACTGCTACTATGCTACCTTCCAAACATCAACTAGCGTCGACATAATGCAGAGTACCTTGATATCACAAATATTTAAGTGGATTTTGGTCTCGCTTCAGTATCTATTTGAAGTAGCATCATCGATGTCATATCATCACACATGCTTATATACCTCCCAAGAGCAGAAGAGAGAGGATGCTGTGACACACGTACGAGTTACTCACATATACATGTTGTGGGAGTGTGAAGCGCAATCAACTAACTGGCAAGTAGTTATATACAGACAGATATACCACAGGAAGGTAGTATACAACACATCACGAGAAATTGTTTATGTATCATGTATCATTCGAAAGGATTCTTGGCTGGAGGATATTATGCTGTTTGAAATGTGCAATGATATAGTTGGCGGCAGTATTTCGTGACGTTCGGTCGTGCGGTTCTCGGTGAGCTCTTGGTTTGGCGGTGGTGTACTTTGAGAATTGATTCTCTAATGCTGATTTATATCCTTTTGAATTTGTAGCAACGTCCTGTATATCAAGCTTCATCATTTTATCATAAACCGTGCTGTAGCGAAGAGAATGATGTAGCAAGTTGAGTAGACTTTAGTGCTTGGCGGGAGTGATATGAGTGAAGGGCCTGTTTGCTCAACACTGTACGAGATGAGTATGTCGCTCTGGAGCGGCTCAAATTGAATGGGGCTTTATTACTCTTTTGTTTTTCACATTTGAATAAGGAAGGATGTAAAGTGATATGACCAGGCGGCAAAGATGAGAAAATAAAAAGGGTGATAATTTATAAGCGAGACAACAAGTGTCGTAGTGCTGGTACCGGATAAGGTAGAGTGTTTTAATGTGATGAGATAAAAATATACTTAACAATTACAATAATTTGAATCAAGGTGGATTCAGATGCTACAGAAAAAGGAATAAGTGTGCACAATTTAACGAAAGGAGAAGAGAGTACACCATAATTAATTGAAATGAGATGCACACAACCGTTAGCATGATTAATTATAATTGGATACTAACAAACTGATGGGAATTGAGTTAACTACGGTGATTAATACCAAGTAAGTAATATCTTCACACAAAATCACGGCCTCCCTGTTCGGTAATTTTTTACTGGGTTTTTGAACAGCTGAAAAAGTCAGTAAACTTAAAAAAATTGTAAAAAATTGTATAAAAGTGATTTTTTCTTGAAATTTATACAGACTGTGTTCCAATTACATTTATTTGATGATAAAAATAAAATATGTTAAAATTGTTCGTTGCATTACGTGTGACCGTTATTTTCAGTTTACTGACTTTTTCAGCTGTTTGAAAACCCAGTAAAAAATTACTGACCCCAGTAAAATAATCTCTGTGTGTTATTTGAACATGCATGAAAAATGTGAATGGAGTGGTTTACGCATCCGAAGGATGTACAATTCCGTTAACAGTTTTGTATAAAATATACACCCAATCTGGAATGAATTACTGAATACACATATTCTACACACTTAGTTTTGCTTTAAAAATTGCAATAAGTTTTACTTAGGTCTCATCAATAAATTAAATTTGCTTGCTGAGATTTATTAATTAATTTTTTTTAACTCTTTATTTGTTTACCCTATATCACCAGCACTCAGCGATGAGAGTGAGTGTAGGTATCGGAAATTCAAACTACCGTTCATTATGAATGAGCAAGGCCGACTGTGGCTATCAGGCATTTCTACCAGCTGCAATAACAGCTTGTGAGCTATTTGTACCTACGGGTACGAATTTAGAATTTGTCCCTCGCTCCCTCAGTAAGATACTTGAGAAGACGTTTGAATCTGTCCAAGGTGTCAACTAATACTTAGCATTCAAGCCGATGGCCAGTTTGCAGTGAAAACTTGAATTTAATGAAGTTCAAAAGTTCCATGCGAAAATGGAAATCGGTAGTCATTATCACAATAGGGGGACCTGTTCTTTCTTGGTATTCTGACGGGAATGTTAAATGGAATTTTGCATGGATGATGGATCATTCTCACCGTCCAAATAAATTTGATCAGAAAGTGGATCAAGAGATTGCCCTTTTCTTTGTGAGTTTAGGCGCCATCGCTGCAGAAGAAAGTTTCTCCAAATCAACGCACGATGTGGACATGAGATTCATCAAAACATTTTCCGAGACTTTTGGTGAGATTTCAGTTATATTTTTTGCTGAGCTGCTTGGTGGTGCCGAAATTACCGAGAGTCGTAAAAATACTAATGATGATAAGCTTCAACTGGTATTATCCTCGGATTGAATCCCAATCGAAAATGTCTGGCTACTTGGATATCGTCATCGTAATTCATAAATACGATTTTTTGTAATTCTTTTGCAGATCATCCAATCGGTCGATATTAAAAGATAAGCTGATTCTTTGAAGAGTCCAAAGATTGCCGTCATGATGGCTGATATGCTATATCACTTCAAGTTTTCTAAAGCACAAATCTCGGACACTGTTGCGACACCGCTCATGAAATTTGAACTCCCTGTTAAGTTTCAGTTTCCTTGTATATTTCGTTAGAGCTGATAGTTGTACCACAGACAAACAGACGTAACTCTTCATTGTGTATCTTCGTTCATGCATTTAACGGTTGATTTGAATATTATCAGTTCCGCGAACTACTCGCCGCAGCACTGGCATCGGATCACTTTGACGTTTCTATATATTCTATAGAACTTTTATGCAATATTGTTTACGAGTTAACGAGCAAGCTTGTTTTCCGCGAGAAGCCAGAGAGATGTCGTTACTGAGGTTATATGTTATGAGATACTATGTTTTCAAGAACAAGTTTTTCAAAGAGTTACGTCTGTTTGTCTGTGGTTGTACTCTTGAAATTGCAAAGTGTAAATTAAAATAATCAAAAACATGGAGCTTGGGGATCATCCATGAATTACGTCACGCTCTAAGAGGAGAGAGGGGTTTCTAATGTGTGACAAGCAATGCTTTAAGTATATTAAAAACGTGACAAAAGGAGGGAAGGGGCATTGGCGTAGCTTAGGAAAAATCATAGGTGGGAATAAATCTATTTTCAAATTTCTCAAAAAACTCGTTTTTAGTACCTATCTTTAAATCGGACAAAAAATCTGACATACGGAATTATCGTGGTATGGCTATTATCTCTTGCATTCTGAAACTTTTTGAGGCGATTGTAAATGGAAAAATCTTTTTTCAAATTAAAAACAGAATAACTACTATGCAACATGGCTTCTTTAAAGGCCGTTTAACAACTACGAATTGCTTGATTTAATTAATTATTCCTTGAATGTAATGGATAACAGAAACCATGTAGAAGTGTTTGTTAGGGAAATTAGGAAACATAATTGTGTGCATCACTGTAGGTAATCCAACGACCACGATCTTCTGCATGTATGCAGACCATACTCTACCTACCTATACGAGAGATAGGCACGATAGACAATCAGTGATGTGCTCTCGCAGCATCACTTGTAAATAAAGATAGGAGAATAGCCAGTTAGCTCCCGACCACCGACGGTACCGGTATCGATTCAGTTCGATCGCGTTGTTTAAATACAGTCCACTTTCGTAGAATAATAAAATCATTAATTAGTGATCGTATCACACCGGTGTTAATCCGAACTAGCTATTCGCGGGTGCGCACGTAGTGCAAAACGGGGAATTATCCATCATTTTGGTCCTGGCGAACCGGATTTGCCAGACCCGTTGATAACTTGTTCGGTGATAGTGCGCGTCGCTTGGGTTCGATACGGTCATCGAACTACCGGACAATAGACCAGTGGTGTCTGATTGTTTGCCGTTTTACTGGCGTGGTGGTACACTGGTACGAAAAAAGTGGCTTGTTCTGCTGGCGTGAGAATACGCTAGTGCGAGAAAAGTGATTGTTCTGACCTGCCAGCGTGATACGCTGGGGTGAAGAAGGTGATTTTGTCCGAGTGGCGTGGTGATACGCTGGCGCGGAATAAATTGTGATAAAGATTCTGCTGGTGCAGTCTGCGTCAACAGCGTTTGGATTTCTACATGTGTGATAGCAGTAGGTGATATCTGTTTAGGTTTGAGAAGGATCTCGTTCATCTCCTGTGGACATCACCATCGATTCCCAAAGGCCTAGGGCCAAGTCAGCTAAGTACAGTGTGTGTGAGATTGCGTGGTTGAGGTGGCTTGGTTGGTTTGCATTGTGCGACAGCCATAGCAAAAGCTCTACGAACGGTAGAGAAAATTAAAGCTTGATGAGATTACATTGCATGCGAGATTGTACTCATCATCAGTAGAATACTGTGGAGAACGTTTTTGCATTTCTCCGGTTTTTATAATTTATTGCCTAGCTGGAAAACTTTGATATTGCTGATAATTGATTGAGTTTTTACATTTGGCCTGTCAGTTGTCAATCGTTCGATCGCTTGAGGTCTCGGGAGTGATTTGGGCTAGTGATTCGTAGTAAGTGCAAGTGCAAGTCTTCTGTAACGATGCCAGTGTCTGAACTGAGACAGCTAGTGAAGCTGGAACGTCATGCGTGGATTTCGTTGGAGAACATCGAGTAGTTCCTGGCTTCGTATCAAGAAGAACGTGATAAAAGTGCAGTGGAATTACGTCTAAAGAAGATCGACGATGTGTATAATAAATACTGTGAAGTGAGAGTAAAAATTGAAGTGCTTACAGACGATCTCGACGTTGACGATGGCTCGCAGAATGCAGCTGAGGAAGTAGCCACAGAGCCGATTGATATGGCTGAGGCGCGCCAGAGAGAGAATGAAGAAATTTTCAAGGAGTTTGAAAATAAATACTTTCGACTGAAGCAGGCACTTCTTTTGAAATGCAGCGTAGATATGGGAGTTGTTGCTGAACGGCAACCTGCAGTTCAGGTCTGCCAGCCATCGCGGACGAAGTATCCGGAGCTGAGGCTACCCACATTCTCGGGAAAGCTGTCGGAATGGATCAACTTTCGGGACAACTTCAAGTCGTTGATACACGACAACCATCAACTCTGTACAATCGATAAATTCAATTATCTACGTACCTCGTTGAAGGATGATGCTCTTCTGCAGATCAACCAAATTCAAATGACTGCTGCCAACTACACTCTCGCTTGGGGAATTCTGGAGTCGAAGTTCGAGAACCACAAGCTCATCGCACAGGAACATTTGAAGGCATTGTTCGCTGTTGCGCCAATGAAATTGGAGAGCTTTCAAGGATTGAACCATGTTCTAACGACGTTCAGGATCAACCTCCAACAGTTGGAGAAGCTGGGTGAAAATACGGAAAACTGGAGTACGCTGTTGGCTTTCATGCTATCCCAGAAACTGGACGATGATACGCTTCGCCAGTGGGAAACCCACCACAGCTCGAAGAATATTCCCTCCTACAAGGCAATGGAGGAGTTTCTGGAGAATTACTGTGGAATCCTGCAGTCAACGTCAGCGCGAAGAAGTAACGAGTGCAGGAAGTCATACAAGAACCCAGTAGTTCACGCTGTGGTATCGTCGAAAGACGATTGCCCAATCTGCAATGCTGGACAACATTCCGTGGAGCAGTGTAGACGTTTCGGGAATATGAAGGTCGTTGATAGGAAGATGCTTGTTCGAAAACTCGGATTGTGCCTAAATTGCTTGCGTTCCGGTCATTTCGTTGCGGATTGTTCGAGGTCTACGTGCAATAAGTGTGGATACAGCCACCACTACCTGCTTCATCCGTACACCGCATTCGCAAGTAAGGGGCAGACATCGAGTCAGCCCTCCTCCCAGAAGCCTGCCAAAAGACCTCAAGACGCGAACTTTCAGTCACAGCAATCAAATCAGGCTCAAAACCGGAACAGTTCTCAACACACACAGTCTACACCAACTCCAAGTACATCTTCGCAAAATGCATGCTTGTCACCTCCCACCAATACTCCAACAGTACACCACACTGCTACACCATCCAAAACACACCACTATACAAACAATGCATTGTTATCAACCGCTATCGTGAAGCTCGGTGATCGTCACGGAAACACCGTTCTTGCACGCGCTTTGTTGGACAACGGGTCACAGATTAGTCTGATGACCGAAAACCTTTCTCAAAAGTTGAATTTCCGACGAACTCGGGAAAATGTACCAGTAAAAGGAGTGGGTGGTGCCCTTTCTGTTGCTAAACAAGCCGTATTAGCAACAGTGTTGTCATGTAATTCTTCGTACACGTCTTGCGAGGTCAAGTTCTTTGTGCTGTCGAAGATTACATCAAGCCTGCCGCAGCAGCACATTGAGGTATCATCGTGGAATATACCTCCAGGAATTTGCCTAGCAGATCCAGCCTTCAATGAACCTGGATCTATCGATGTGATTCTGGGTGTAGCTGTTTTCTACGAGCTGCTGCTAAGTGCGCAGTTGAAACTTTCTAATTCGGGTCCGATTCTACGCCACACGGAGCTTGGATGGATTGTTGCTGGAGAATTACCTGAAACCTCTGTTGTCAGCTACAGCACGGTAGCTTCGTCATCGGTAACTACGGAAGACGTCTTCGAGGAACTAACTAAGTTCTGGGATTTAGAATCCTGTCAAACGACGAGCTGCTTGTCCATCGAGGAGTCTGCCTGTGAAGCCATCTTTGAGGAGACAACCACAAGAGATCCTGATGGAAAATTTCGGGTTACATTGCCGAAAAGGAAACATATGCTGGATAAACTGGGAGAGTCTAAGGCGATAGCGAAGAAACGGTACCTCTCCATGGAGAAACGGCTGAATGCCAACCCGGAAATGAAGGCATTGTATTCGACTTTCATGCACGAGTACCTTTCCATGGGTCATATGACGGAGGTAGTAAACGACGATGAGGAATCTGGTCCAGAATATTACTTGCCGCATCATGCAGTGCTGAAACCAGACAGCACTACTACAAAACTAAGAGTAGTTTTCGATGCATCGTGTTCTACGGAATCGGGTGTGTCCTTGAATGACGTCTTGATGGTGGGACCTGTCGTTCAAGACGACCTACGAAGCATCCTTTTACGATTCCGGTTGTTCAAGTATGCTGTTGTAGGAGACGCAGAGAAAATGTACCGGATGGTATGGCAGCACGAACTGGATCAGCTGCTGCACAAGATATTCTGGAGAGATTCGGTTCAGGAGCCATTGTGGACGTACAAGCTATCCACTGTGACGTACGGTACATCATCTGCACCTTATCTTGCCACTCGTTGTCTGAACAAGTGTGCTGAGGATGGAGCAGAGCGCTATCCCGTAGCTTCAGTGGTGGTCAAGAAGAGTTTTTATGTTGACGACATGCTAGCCGGCTCTCATACCGTTGAAGAAGGCGAACAGCTCTGTAAGGAGGTACTGGAGCTCCTGAAGGGATCAGGTTTCAACCTCAGGAAGTGGAACTCCAACAATCCGAAGATTTTGAAGGCAATACCCTCGCATCTGCGGGACGATCGAGAATTCCTGAATTTAGATGAGAAGGCAACTGTGAAGACGTTAGGTCTCACTTGGGAGACGGCTACGGACACACTGTGGATCAAGGTTCCGGATTGGAGGCCAGGTGGGCCAATCACGCATCGTGTTGTTCTATCCGAGATAGCACGTCTTTTCGACCCCTACGGACTAGTTGGTCCGGTAGTAGTCCAAGGAAAACTATTTCTTCAAGAGCTTTGGAAGGCGAAGTACTCCTGGGATGAACCACTAAGTGATGAGCTTCAGTCACAATGGTTGGAGTTCAGAACCAATCTTTGCGAGTTGGACGCTGTGTCTGTTCCTCGATGGATCAGGTTCGGAAGAGATGTAATCACATGTGAATTCCACGGATTCAGCGATGCAAGTGATAAAGCATACGGTGCCGCGATATACTTACGATGTGTGAACCGGGACGGAGAAGTCACGATCAACCTACTGATGGCCAAATCAAAGGTTGCGCCGTTAGAGGACCTTAGTAAAAGGAAGAAGAAGCAATCCACACCTCGGTTGGAGTTATCTGCTGCGCTACTGTTAGCGCACCTGTATGAGTCTGTCTCCACCAGCATGATGATAGCAGCCAAATCATTCTTCTGGACCGATTCTACAATTGTAAAATTCTGGATTTCGTCACACCCGTCTAGATGGCAGGTCTTTGTGGCCAATCGTGTATCAGAGATACAACATGTGACAAAGGGTGGAATCTGGAACCACGTTCCGGGAATCGAGAATCCCGCTAACATAATTTCGAGAGGAGCCACTCCAGCTCAGATAACGAGCAATTCTCTGTGGTGGAATGGTCCAGAATGGCTGAAAAAGGAAACCCAGTACTGGCCTGTAAACGCGCAGGTTCCAGAGCAGCAGTTCGATTCGGTAATCCTGGAGGAGAGACCACTAGTGTCAGCAGTCCTACAGACTCTGCCTCCAAGTGGGATTTTCACGCTACGTTCGTCTCTACTGAACCTTGTTCGTCTGACCGCTTGGATACGCCGTTTTTCCTTCAACTGCCGACCAAGAAATCGGTTGCATAGGAAAACTGGATTGCTGACAGCTGGTGAACATGATTCATCCTTGATTCTCCTAGTGCAGCTAGCCCAATCGGAATGTTTTCCATTGGAATTATCAAACCTTGCGGCTAAGGGCGAAGTTAGGCCTTCGTCGAAGCTGCATGCTCTGAATCCTGTGATGGTTGATGGGATACTCTGCGTTGGCGGCCGGCTCGGAAATGCTCCTGTTTCGCGAGGAAGGAAACATCCGATGATTTTGGATAGCCATCATCCACTCACGAAGCTCATCTTGGTCGACTATCACCGGCGATTGCTGCACGGAGGACCGCAGTTGATGATATCGTGTGTTCGAGAGAGGTTTTGGCCGTTGAGCGTCAGAAACTTAGCCAGGAAGGTAATGCACGAGTGCGTAAAGTGTTTCAGGGTGAAACAACGCGTCCATGATCAGTTGATGGGAGATCTTCCGTTGGAACGAGTATCACCAGCTCCTGCTTTCCAACGAGTGGGTATCGATTATTGTGGACCATTCGAACTGCAGCCTGTCACCCGGAAGAGCGCTCCGGTGAAATGCTATCTCTGTTTGTTCGTTTGCTTAGTCTGCAAAGCCGTCCACATTGAGGTCGTGATGGACCTCACCACCGAGGCATTTCTTGCTGCCCTTCGGAGATTTGTTGCCAGACGCGGAAGACCGGAGTTGATACTCTGCGACAACGCCTCTAATTTCGTGGGAGCACAAAGAGAACTGCGTGAATTGCATCGAATGTTTCGTCAGCAACAGTTCCAAGAAAATGTGTCAATGGAGGCTGCTCAAGATTCGATCGAATTCAAATTCATCCCTGCCAGATCACCCAACTTTGGTGGCTTGTGGGAAGCCGCAGTCAAATCGCTGAAAGGGCACATGAGGAGAGTAATCGGCAACAGAATGCTGAAGTATGATGAACTGCATACCGTTGTGACGCAGATTGAAGCATGTCTAAATTCGAGACCGCTGACACCGCTCGTTAATGACTCCGGTGACTTGGAAGCATTGACTCCCGGGCATTTTTTGATCCAACGCCCACTCACCGCAGCACCCGAACCAAGTCTCCATGATCTATCAGAGAATAGGCTCAATAGATGGCAACGTGTTCAGAACTACAGTCAACTGATTTGGAAGCGCTGGTCAACGGACTACTTGTCAACTCTGCAGAGTCGCAACAAATGGACAAGGCAAAGAAATAATTTAAACGTTGGAACAATGGTTCTTTTGAAGGAGGACAACATTCCACCTCTCAAGTGGAAGCTGGGACGCGTCATGGAGACTCACCCAGGGCCAGACGGGAACGTGAGAGTTGTCACCGTTCGTACGAAGGATGGCTCTTATCGTCGGGCTATTTCGAAGATATGTATTCTTCCCATCCGAGATAATCAACTGGATGTCGAGGAATCGCAGTAGATCCAGTACAACAATAAGTATTATCGCCCCCGTTGGGGCACTTTTGGCACCTTGCGGTGTAACCCCGCCGCTGTTGCCAGGGGGCAACCTATAAGTTACGTATTATATATTCTGTGTATCCGGGAACATACTGATCTGTTCTCCCTCGACAGTCATAACCTGCTGCTCATATGCTTGGCTGGAGAGATCATCCGTTCCTTCGTTCATCCGTATGCAAGCAACCATAATACGGATCCACCTCTGATACCTTGCGGCATCGTAGATCACTGAAGATCAACACAGCTAAGTATGGCCCCATATGGGGCAAATTTGGCGGTAACCGACAGTCCATGTCGTTTTATGCCAGGGGCCGCAGTATAAGTTACGTTTATTAGAAATAAGTAGCATTTCGGAAGCCAATCGAATTCCCTTCCTCCAGGATCATCTCCAACACTTCAACAATCGACGGTCGTCAGAGATGTATTCTCCCATGGATCGACAACCACATCGGGAAAACTCAGATAAGTATGGCCCCAGTAGGGGCACATTGGCAGCTGACGGCGCTTTCAGCCGTAATCGCCAGGGGCCGCACTAAAAGTTACGTTTTCCAAGCTTAACAAGTTGTTCGGAGCCCAATCGGTTTTTCTCTTCAACAGAAATCCTCTGAGATAACTTCTGATCTTCTACGACCACAACTTCCGCCGAGCATTTTACGCCCCCATTAGGGCAAACTTTGGCAACAATGGAGAGTTCGTCCATTATCGCCAGGGGGCGACAGTTAAGTTATGTCTCTCCAATAACGAATTTGTTTCGGAATCAAACCGTCTTATTCTCCAATAGCATACGAGGGTCAATTCCACCGACAGAGGCCAGCATGTTCGTTCCACCGGCAGCGGAAGCATGTGCGCTAGAGGCGTATGGTTGGGAGTCATACGAAGTCAGTAAAGTTTCCAACATCGGAATCTATGGATTGAGTTTGTAACCCTCGTCTAGGGTGACAATTTATAACCTACCCTTTTAACGTGTTTGCCATGAGCGTGTGCCTTGTCTGTTATGATTTGTTTTTGTTTTGGTCGCACGCTCGGCAACATACTCACCACTGATTTATTTGTAAATATTTTAATTTGTTATTTTCATCGTAGATTTTATTCATGTAGGCATGTTTTTAGGATTAGAATATAGTGTAAAAATTATCGTTTAAAATTGTCTCGCGTGTAGAATAAAGCTAGGTCCCGTTTCTCCTCCCGCTGCAAAATAAGGCGAAAACATAAGCAGCACAACATTCGAGCGCGGTTGCAGGAGAACGATGCCGGTTGTTAGATTGTCAGTGATTGTCAGCTAAACAAGAGAGAAAGTTACGAGCCACGGTAGGAAATCGACGCGTTTTTTGCCCCGTCCGTTTGAAGTGAAAACGAGAAGTTGGAGTGCCGTTTTCGTGGCGTGTGTCCGCTGGAGGGATAATTCCCAGCATCGTCGCGTGAAAGTGTCGTCATTTCCTGGAAAAGTGCCGTGGTTCGTGAGCTTAAGTGAAGGGTGTCGGATCGCCGCCAAGGGAAGCTAAATTTCAAGGATTTTTCCGCTTCCCGGCTAAACCCCAAGGATCCCCGAACACCCACCGTCCTCACTGCGGTGGCTCAGCCAGTAGAGCCAGTCTCGCCACCGCAGTTAAGAGCCAAGGAGGGACGAAGCAGGTCGAACCGAAGGAGCGTTCGCCTGGGTAGTGCACTGCGGTGACTACCGGGACCATCTACGGCGAGTAGTTGGTCCGGTGATTCGTCACCATCGTCGCCGAGGGGGTTCCGATAAAGGAGCCTTGCTCATCCCCCCCGCTAAACGCCAAGGACCGCTGCTACGCAGCTAAAGTGAAGGAGAAAACGCTCGGCACAGACCGTGTCTGGAGCCAACGTAAAGCAGTACGATCTGCAACCGCCGCCGCTATCGTCGAAGGGCCCCACCGAGTGACACCGAGGATAACGAGGAGGAAAAGGAAAGGTTAGAGGATCATAGACGTCTTAAATTGTACTTTTCTTTCTCTTTTCTTAACAATCCATCCAAATCCGAACGTCTTTGGGGGAAGTACTCTGCTCGTAGCCGCCCCGCCGGGGTAAATCGGGCCAGCTATAGGCTGGCAAGTAAGCCGCAACTTACAATTGGCGCCCAACGTTAAAATACACAAGGAAAAAATATTCTTAAGGAATATTTTTTCTTCCGAGCGTGGGGTACTTCCACCAAAGTTTGGAACCAGGGTGGAATAAACAGTGGTGAGGCTTTTTCCACAATAGGCGCGGTTCGTTTAATATTATTTGTTGTGTTTGTCTTATTCCTAATCGGTGAATCGCTTCATTTCATCGTCTGCAGAACGAGTTGTCGTCATCTCGGAGCACTTTGTTCTCAGAGCGGGGCTTTCAAATCCTCTGAGCCGATTTGGGTTGACATTCGCAACATTTGGTGACCTAAAATCATAGGGAATCGTCAGTAAATGAAAAAGGGTCCTTACCGTATTCATACTCCACTCCACAGTTGGCAGGTTTTAATTTATCTCCATATTTTGAATCTGTGATCCACTCATTTTTGAACATGGCACGCAGACCGTTGACGTTGACGGAGTTCAATGAGGCGTATCTGCATCTACGCGTTGATCATTTGCATCCCGACGAGGTTGACTTTGAATTAAACTCCCGTGGTGTTGTCATCCTTCCTGAGTCGGATAAATCGGGATCACAAAGACGTCGTCGTTTGAGGGGATTGCTGAACAGCGAGATAGTGCAAGCTACGAATGCTGTTCGGTCGTTCAAAGGGGATGCTCAAGTCGAATTCGGGACATGTCGTGGGAAGTTTGAGTCCATGAGGGAAGATTTACAGTATAGGTGTCCAAATAAGGAGATATTTCGAAGCAGGTTACTTCATTTGGGAGTCCGGCTCCAACTCTTGGAAAAATATGTTGTAGGGGAGGAGTTTTCGGTCACTAGGAAATGTTTACAGGAAGTGATCGCTTTATGGGACTATCACTTCGGGGACAGTCCTGCCCCTACTCCGCCGACCAACGAGGAAGAAGAAGACGAAGTTGGCGATGATGATTTGGTGGATCAAAATCCTGATCCGGAAATCACACCACAGAACCAAGATGGACAACAAGTTGTTGAAAATCCAAGTGACAAAACCGTAGGAGAAGAACTTTTGAATGTCTTACGTGATATAAGGGCGGAGATTAGAAGCGTACAGGACCAAATCTCGCTGAATGAGTCTCGTAGCGATATACGAGTAAGCTCTCTCCAACGTGCGGTCAAGAGCCTGAGCAGCGAGATAACTGTTATTACAAAGATTGCTGCTGATCTAAAGAAAACGAATCAGGAAGTTGAAGAGCTTCGTGATACGGTTTCGGGATTGCAGTGTATCATAAACCAAATTCTTCCACACGTTGTTGTTCAAGATCCGCCGCCCAGAAGGAATGATCTTGGATTGGAGGAAATTCCAGAACATCCGGAACTGCATGATGTCCGACAACCAACGGTAGAATCAGACAATCTAGTTGATTTGTTAAGGCAATATTCGATGCCTACAAATAAAGCAAACATTCAGAACATAGGGGATTCTGGTTTGTGGAACAGTTCAAAAAACTTCATCCAACCTGGTTATCATTCTCAGAATCACTTCAAACAACCTACACTCCCGAACTACACTTACCCAAATCAAGGGAGAAGTGTAGGATCGGTTGAGCCGCCCGCGTACTATCGTCGACCACAACGGGTGGCCGACTGGAAGATTCATAAATACGCTGGGAATGATGAAGGGACTGGACTGAATGAGTTTTTAGAAACTGTTCACCACTATGCGGAATCAGAGCAGATTTCGGAAGAGGAACTTTTTAATTCAGCGATGCACTTGTTCATCGGGAATGCTTTGGCGTGGTATAAGGCTATGCGGTCGCAAAAGCGACTCTTCAATTGGAATCATCTTGTATGCGAGTTAAAGGCGAATTTCGTTCACCCGGAACTCGATGCCACGCTGAAGATGAAAGCGTCTCAGCGTCGCCAACAACGGAACGAATCCTTCCAGCAGTTTTACCTGGAAATGGAGTCAATTTTCCGAGCCATGACTACGCCACTATCCCCAAGCGAGAAGCTCGAGCTTCTCAAGCGTAATCTTAGGCCTGATTATAAACAGGTTCTTATTACCAAACCGGTGAACACGCTTGCTGAATTACTTTGCCTCGGTAAATCAATCGATGCTTCTAGAACTCCCATTTACTACAAGGTATTCGGCAGTTCCAAAGAAGTCGCTGCAATCTCCGAAAAACCTGTATTAGCTGATTTTAGAGAGAATCAGAAACAGCAGGGTGGAAACGGGGATTCATCAAAATCAAGAAGTAGGATTTTTTGGAATAGAAATGGTCGACCACCTTCCCCAGAAATTCGAAATTCGTCGCCCAACCGACCAAGAGACGTGGATGGCCAGACGGATAAAAATCTCCACGAGAAAACCAATCAACATTTTAAATCCACACAGCCACAGAAAACCATTATCTGTTTAGACTTCTTGGTGAACCAACATCGTCCACCAAACCTCGGTGTCTGCTATAATTGCGGGACCAAAGGACACGAGCATGAAGCGTGTTCTAAACCAAAACGGGTATTCTGTGCGGTGTGTGGGTTTAAAGGATTCGAGTATTCTCATTGCCCTTATTGTTTAAAACATGGGATTAGGTCCAACTAATTCAAGGGACTTGAACCCCTTATGTTCAAATTTTTAAAAATTTAGTTCGCCCCGGAGCTCAACATCTTTGTTTTCGCTTCTTTCTCAAAGCAATATTCCCTGTTCGAACTCCGGGATGTTTTCTTCAGCCTATATAGCATAACAGTGAACTCCACTGCATCGTCAATAATTTGTTGGAGTCGACCTAAAAGGCAAAAACATGAATTAGTCACATTTACTCCTTTGAATTTTACTGCAAACTACTTACCAAAAGTGCTTTGCGACAGCCTTCCTACGACCTAATACTTCCTCTCGTCTGTTGTTTACTT